GGAGCGGGACGGTGGCAGGGCGGGGCGGAGGAAGAAAGGAGGGGCCGGGCCCCCTCGCGCTATGCATGCGAGCCACAGCCAGCTCCGGGGATCCCTCTCGGCGAGGCCCTAGGCTCCTCCGGGGAGGGTTTGGGGTGGTGGGCGGGGAGGCCTCCCACCGCCCCGCGGGGTCTCCTGAGACAGGGCCAAGAGTCTGAAACCCGGAGTGGATCGGTTCTCGGATCGGGGCTCTCCCGGGCCCGCCAGCCTGCGCACAGGTGGCTCGGGAGGGGCGCAGGGCTGCAGCGACCGCGGAGCAGCGCCAGTCTGCAGAGAGCAGCCCGGGGCAGGGGTGCCCGGGGCAGGTTCCACTGCAGTCCTCTCCCTCCACCCCCCCACTCCGCCTCCCGGCCGCGCTCCGAGGCCGTCAGCGCGCCGCGGTACGCCTCCACGCGCGGCTTGGATAGGGGACTGCGGGAGAGCGCCCGGATTCCCGGCCAGCTCGCAGAGGTGCCCCGCAGGCTAGACTCGGGGCCACCCGCAGTCCCAAGCACGTAGGCTGGTGCACCTCAGCGTTACCCAAGGCTTCCCTAACCCCACTGCGCCGTTTGCCTACGGAAAACATCCCAGCGCGCCGCGTGTCTGACTGGGAGCGTGGTGTTTGCGCCCGGAGCACACACGGTGCTGGAGTCGTGGGCGTAAAGAAACCAGCTGGGCTTTGGGGACTAGACAGAGCTGGGGTACTGCCTCGGCGCTACCGCCTTCTAGCTCTTTGACCTTGGGCAAGTCACGTCTCCTGAAGCCTCCAGTAACCACCGCTGCTGGAGTCTCCAGTTCCCCACCCCCATTCCCTAATCCGGTTAAAATAAACAGAGGGTTGCCTTAAAAGAGAAAGGAAATGACAAACGCGCACTATGTGCACGGAGCCAGCGGTCAGAAAAAGAGAGGGTCCTGCCCTGGATCGGGAGGGGGATGAGAAGGGTGAGGGCAGGGTCGCAAACTAAAATGCCTACGGTGGCCTGGCGATAATATACATTGGTGCTACATGGCCGGCGATATAAGAATCGTCTTAGCTTCCACAAAGAGATACGAGGTCTACTATATTTCTTGAAACACGAGGCCCTCTCTCGGTCTGTCTTTTGTTTCCCACTATTGATAGAAAAGGGTTATGAGAAATGTTTTTGCTTTCTTCTTTACTATTAAAAACATCAGCCAATGTCCAGATACACATCTGCAGGCACTGAGCTTCAGTGCCAAGGAGGGAACACCAGCACTGGGCACCCGGCACAGGATCCCATCTAAAGGGACAGCTGGCTCTTCTGCTCCAGGTGCCAGTTGGGGGTGTGTGGAATATGGCCCAGTACTGGCCACATCTTCCAATTTATTCATAGATTTCAATAGAAGCCATTGTATGTGAAATCTTCTGATCTAAAGTCTTTAACTGAAAAATAAAATATTTAAACTTCATGTGGGCCCAGATGAAAATGTCCACAAATATGCACCAGCTTCTGGGTTTTGAACTCTGCTTTGGGGGTTGCTTGTTTGTACTTTGTGTCAGGAGGGCCTGATCTAGCCAACTGGAGAGTGTGTGTGAGTGTGTGTGTGTGTGTGTGTGTGTGTGTGTTAGGGTGAAACAGTGTGTGCCCAGGCCCCACCCTGCTCCCAGGGAAGAGGTGGGGAGGGGAAACAGTAGCAGAACCTGCATTTGGGGCTCATAGGATGGAGGAAATGATTAGGAACTGAGGTTTGGGCACTAGTGGGAGAATGAAGGAATGAGGTTGGGGGCTTGGATATAGATGTTATCATAAAGGTGTGCTGAACTCTGCTGTATTCTTTCCTACCTTTATAAATACAATCCCTTTAAGTAAACATTATATCCCCGTTATACAGATGAGGTAACTTGGGCTTGAAGGAAGGAAAGTGCCTTACCCCTAAGGCCAGCCTTATTCAGCGATTGCAGGGCTAGCTGAGATGGGTCCCTGGGAGGTTTGATTTACATTTCCTCCTGCTGCATTTTCTGCTCTGGGATTAAAATTTGGGAATAAAGGTTAGGATACAGGAAAGGAAAGGGTCTCCTCTGTTCAGTTTGGTTGATCTGCTCACTTCTCTGGTTCTCTCTCTCTAAAGAGAGACTAGGTTATGCTATGGTAACAAACAGTCCTTAAATAGCAGGGGCTTAAATCAACAAAGGTTTACTTCTTGTTTGTCCATTATGGGGCTGCTGCTCCAGATCATCCTCACAGGCCGACAAAGCAGCCATTCTCTGAAACACTGTTGGTCCATGAGGAAGAGGAAAAGGGAGCTCTGGAAAGACACCCACTAGCAATCAATGGCTCAGCCCAGAAATGACCTGTATCACTTACAGTCACAAACCATTGGCCAGAACTGGCCCCCCAGCCCCACCCCAAGAGGGCCAGAAAGTGCAGTCCTGCCATGTGCCTGCAAGGCAGCAGCTAAAATACATGGCGAGTGGTGTTCATGATGACCACAGTCCTCAAGCCCAGCATGACTTGCCCCCTGCCTACCTCTGTCCTGGCCATGTGGCCTCCTTTGTGTTTGTCCAGCATCCAAGCTCATCCCCACCTTCGGACTTCCCATTTGCTTTACTTCCTGGAGCACTCTGTCCCAGGATAGTCAGATGTTGGATCCTTTTAGTCATGCAGATCTCAGCTCAGCTGCCCCCTTCCAAGTGGTACTCAGGGAGTGTTAGGAAAAGGGGCAGAATGTCCTTGCAGAGATGGGGGAGTACACATTTCACATGAATTCTGCTTAAGAATCAAGAGGGCTGTCAGAAAGGTCTTGTCTCAGACCTAAGGTTAGATGGCCCAATGGAAGGAGGGCTCCTGACATCTCCAACCTCCTTTGCACTTGAGTCCCAGACTCCAAAGGAAGGGCCAAACCCCATCTAGGTAGTACCTGTCAAGAAGTGTCTGTAGCCCTCTTGCAAAATCTCAGTGACAGGGCATAGGTTTCACTCCAACCATTCTACTGCCCAGGAGTTTATTCTCTCTGGGGAACAAGAATCTGCCCCTCATTGGGTTCATTTTCTGGAACCACATCAAGCATGTCTGCTCCCTCTTTTGCTTCTGTTATTTCAGACCTTTTCTTCTTTTGTTTCAGAACACAAAGTCTGGGTCTATCCTGAATTTCTCCCTCCTGGCCAAACAGTTCTGCTTCTGTCACTGGCATGGTAGCTGGGCTCTGGGGCCCAGTCCTGGACACCCTGGCCCCACTTCAGGTGCTCTCCAGCAATGCTGCTCCTCTGAAGGCACCTCTTGAAGGGAGTTGCACATCTCCTGCCCACATGGCCTGATGCACAAGAGGTGTCCCAATCAGCTCTTGGCTGTGACATTGCACTATTAATGCCCACTGGACTGGGGGACCTCAGAGCTTGTGGTGAGGCCATCACTGACTTGGAGGTGTGCCAGAAGCTCCTGTAATGGTAGTTAACATGCAAATCTCCAGGTCATGCCCTATCCCAATACTATGTCTGGGAGGCATGTAGTAATCTGCACTTTTACCAAGTCCCCCGCCCCCTGCCCCAGCTATTCCTACTGGTGCCAGTGATCTGAAGACTGCACTTTGAGGTACACTGCCCTAGATCTTTGCCATAGGTGCTGCCAACAACTGGGTGCTCCCAATCTACCGTTGAGTCCCTGGCTTTCTGAATTTAAATGCAAAGACTTCATTTCATCACAATTCTATTCCATTGTATTACAACTAATCCCTTTTTTCCATATGGAGCTCTTTCAGAATGTGGAGGCTGTCAGGCAGGGTACTTGTTATTTTCTTCAGCTTCCTGTCACTCTCAGATGGGATTAGGAAGTCACAGATACTTTCAAACACGTCCTTACTAAACAGGTGGCTGAGGGCAGGACCAAGGACAGAGCCTAGCGGGCCGCACTCCAGACTACTTTGCAAATTGTGCCAGGGCAGCAAGTCAGCTTCTGTTTTTGTCCACTTGGGAAACCTCTAACCACACCATCGTTCAATCTACATCTCACTGCTGCACCCACAAAATAAATGGAAATTCCCCGCAGAACCCCAGATTCAGGACCCTCCAGCATTGCCCTGATCCACCAGGCCAATAACCCAATCAAACAGGTAGTTCAGCAGACAGGACTTGCTCTTGGCAACCCCGCATTGGCTCTTGCCC